TGATCGTACTGCAGCACGATTTCAGAAATAATGGAAGGTTAGCTGCGGTTCCGTAGCTCTTTGGTGCGACATACAATCTAATTTTGCCCTACCAATTTCATTCGGACGTCTTGTTTTTATTTTTGTTGTTATATGTCGAACATGGGCCGGCCAGTGTCTGTCACGTAAATAATGCGGTCGGCAACATAGGGCTATGATTCCACAGCTAATGGAAGGCGAGACAATGTTAGCGAATCGATCGAAAAATACTATAATTTGTGTAACATTCTTATCGGGCATTCTTAGCATTGAGATAGAGTTACAAGACCGAAAGTTACAGTTTCCAGACAAAGATTACTAATACTTTTTTTTCTTGATTAGTAAATTTACTATTACCTAGCAAATTCCAGAGAGAGCCCAGATTGGCATGGATGTTGAAAAAAAGGGAAACTTAAAAATCTTTTGTACAATCACATATGCATAATATATATTTATTATTACAAAATAGTTTCTATAAATAAATGAGAAGTTTGAAGAGCTATTATTAAGTAAACGTCACCACATACAATCAGCTGATTTTAGCTCCACCATTCATCACGGCTACAGCAGTTGTTTACCAATAATGATCACGTCCAAAACAAGCCATTCATGGCACAGTCCCCGTTAGTTATCAAATTTAAGATATAAAGTTTTGTTTATAGTAATATAGCTGGAATATATGTCAGGAATATGATGATTGTTTAACATTTAAATGATTGACATTTGTATCTGATCGTCAAATGAGTATTGAGAGATATTGCTCTGGAACAGCATGAATTAAAACGAAATCAGCCATTATGAATACCGGATTCGGCTGATACCCCGCCCTGGGCGATCTTATGGAGGATTCGATTTTTTTTTAGAAAAATGTGGACCAAAAGATCGCCCGGGCGATCTTTTGGCAGATATTACGAGGCCCATCTTGTCTAAAAAAATAACCCTGGGTTGATAGAAATGGTCTAGAAAAAATAAGTTTCGCGTTGACCAAATATAAATAAATTCAAAGTGTTTTAATACATTGGTGAGAGGTCGAATTTTACGTGAACAAGAACATGCACTAAGAAGGAAAAGCAAGTCAAAGTCGAAACGGAGTGCATCATGGACATGACACAACACACGCTGCGACAACTGAGTGATTAGCGACATAATTTTGGGACGCAATTGAACTTGAAGTACCGTACTTCTTTGCGAAACTTGCTGCGCGGTGATGCTGGCATCAAGTGTGTGTTGACCGAAGTTTGACCACAAGTCACGCGCTGAACTGGCGCGTTACCTTAGCAACCTCTTTCTTTTGCGGTCCGCGTGTCAATCTAGTAAAATTTTTTATTATATCCGACGGTACTGTAATTACGCAACTTGTATGCAACTCTGTACTGGCTTTGAATATATCAACATCGTTTACTTAGTGCACTGCTTTTCTAATTATGCAAATTTGTTTACAATATTGTACCAGCTCTGAGCATTTCAACTTCGTAATGAATTGCTTTCATGATAATTTTTTTTTTAACCACGCGTTTGAATTACGTGCGGCATTGGGCAATGACCTCCAGAGTTCATGCACTGATATTTAAATTCGGGCCATCCAGCTTAACGCAAATCAATATAGTTACTTGACATTTGTTCAAACAATCTTTCAACTCTCAAATACCATGGACGCGAAGAGTTAACTGGGGGTTAAATGAAAAAGAACGTCTTTCTTGGACAACAAATACGTCAGTGCAAGATTATGTGTGCAAGGTTAGATTTATAGAACGTACATGACCGCTTAACTGTTTTTTACCGAATCCAGTATAATGAAAATGCGACACGAGGTCAATCGCCCGACTAATCATAGGGCGGTTCACTTAAATGACATAATAGAATAATGGTGGACACTTGGTCGATGCAACCCAGTGGACCAGCGACGAAAAAGCCCTGTACTAAGCTTTCCATCAAGGAATTTCGTAATCGATGTGCTGACCGATGGATTTTTATCGACTAAGAAATAATCTTGCCCAACATCTGTAGTGTCGTGGGGGAATGATTTTTTTCAGGTCAAATCTTTACCGAACCTAAACTGCTTGCTAACTGAAAGGCTGTGATGATGGAGATCATCTGCGATTGCGGCTACACCAAGTACTGATAACATAAAAACTCAAACAAAATGTATATTTTAATGTTTTCATGCAATATATTCTGAGTTAACCACTTTATTCTGGCCCGCGAATAAATAGGATACAATTTTAAACATGTTTTTGAACGCCGCGAATTAAAAGGATACATTTAGAAAATAGTTACCGAAAATAAATTCGGTGTGCGAATTAATAGGGACCGCGAATTAATCGAAGTTTTTACGGTATGTAACAACGCATTTGACGAGAAAACCAATCAGAATATCTGTTCCAGAAAAACACAAGTAAATTTATTTCCTCCACTTCTGTGTTTCCGCTGTCGCTCGTTTTTTTCGTACTTTCAGAAAAAATAGAAGAAAATACGAAAATATTTAATATATTTATTGTGTATTTTACGAACATATTTGGCTGTCAAAATCGACGAAATTATTTATCAATACCTTCGTACTTATTATGATTTCACTGATTGAGACTTGTTTATAATTTTGTTTTTTTTAAAAATCTGGGCAAATCTTTTTTTTATTGTAAAATGGTCGCTGAATACGAGCCGCAGATACGAGTATAAACAAATCAGTCAGTTACGTACGCAGCACGTAATAAATGGGGTCAAATGTACTAAGGTTACTTCGTAGCAGGCGTGTCGTGTGCAACACATTCACGTGACATACCCAATGGTGGCAGCGTTGGGTATAGTGTGTTTGTCTCATTTGAATTCCGCAATGGCGAAACGAAAAGCTGAACAGGATGGAAAGTTTGGATACGACATCCGTAATTTCCTTTCACCAGGCAAAACTGGGGACAAAAAAGTAGTACCAAAAGATTTAGATTCTGAAGGTAATTTACACGATCGTTTCGAAGTACAAGACACGGCGCCTGTGATGGCGCCAAGTCGTGCAGTGATGGTGAATTGGCCTCTAGTGAAATAGGCGCAACTCAAAACAATATTCCAAAAGGGAAAGGTAGCAAGCGACAACGAAAATTCAAATATCACCCAGAATAGGAGGTAAGTACCAAATTGTTTGTCCCCATACCGATTTAAAATTTAAATCTTGAAAGCGAGTTTACGTTAGCTTACGGTGTTAATTTATAAGCAAATTACGTATTTAACAAATCAATTTGCTTTTTGACTTGTTTGCTATTTGTTAAAATTTTTTTTTTTTTTTTATGTTAGTTGTTTTTAACTGTTAATCAACTATTTATGTTTCAGCGACAAGTACTAAGAAAAATGTGATTCATTGATGTGGTCTTGCTGTACTTTGCGCTGAATGTGTCAGGTATAATATAATTATTGTATTAAATTTAGTGTTTGCATGTGTTAAAACTAATTATTAGTAGGGTTTGTTGCTGTATAATTAATGTTTACTTTGGTAAAATAGTGTTTTTTAAACTATCCATTGACTTTTGTTATTCCTTGTTCTTTTTAGATGACATACCAGTGGTTAACTTACGATGCTACAAAAAAAGTGATGGTTTGTGCAAAGAAGCTGGGAAAGTAAATGCTTTTACTAATCCAGGGTGTCCATACATGGTATAAGATGATTGCAGAAAACATTCTGATACCAAACAACACCAAGCAGTAAAAGATGCAAGGATGACTTCTGCTCCAAGGTTTCAGGCAACCATAACAAATTTATACCGAAAACAATAAAAAACCATACAATCAGCGATAAAAAATGTTTATTATATGGCCAAAAAAAATCATGCTAACTCATCATTCAAGGACTTGAACTGGTTACTAATCATGCAAGGGTGCGATACTCTACAGAGACTTAAAGTAGATGCACACACTTCATATGAACATTCGGACCCCGTTCATGACTTTCAGAATAGTATGAAATTAGTCATTGATGAACAAATTATATCTGAATTAGATAGTGCTGGATATTTTGCCATATTGATAGATGAAATGTCTGATGTTTCTATGGATAAAACTATGATAATTTATCTGAGATATGTATTAGCTGGTAAAATAGTTGTCAGATTTTTTGAAGTTATTGGTCTTGCAGGGTGTAATGCTGATGACATATATCAGGCCCTGGTCAGTGTACTTGAATGCAAGGTTGTTCATGTGAAAAACATGTTTGCAGCAGGTACAGATGGGGCATCAGTTATGGTAGGAAAACATGCAGTGTTACTACAATGTTAAAAACAAATATCAATCCTTATATGATCAGTGTACACTGTATAGCCCATAGATTAGCACTTGCATCAGCTCAGGCTGCTCACAAAGTGAAGCGTATTGATAAATTTGAAATTAGAATGAACCAAATATTCAATTATTTTCACTATTCTACTAAACACATGTCCAAAATAAAACAAATCTATCAGGTAGGGGGTAATGCAATGCATCGCAATTTTGTGAGGCCATGTGATACAAGGTGGCTTTCAGTTAGAGGGGCTGTTGAAGCAGTACTTATCAATCTTAAAGCCATGTTCTACTGCCTGCAAAGTGATGCTGAAAGTGGAGATAGTACAGCTAGGGGAATGCTCAATGAAATGGCTACTTTTGATTTTTTGGCCATATTGCATCTTATGGCAGATGTATTGTATTATCTTGGGCAGTTGAGTTGTGTTTTTCAGAAAACGTACCTAGATTTATCATCTGTTGATGGGCATATCAAAGCTGTTGTCAATATACTTAAAAATATGAAGGATGACCCAGGACGCAGACTGAAATCATTTCTTAGTTCAGTCCCAGAAACAACATCTCTAGAATACAAGCAATATGGTTTTAATGAAATTGAAACTTTGTGTAGTTTTTATTGGACACCCAAAACCACAAATGATGGTATGCAACATGCACCTGTTATTGATTCTGATAAGCTAAAAGATGAGTGAGTGGCCAGTGGTGAAGGAAATCTTGAGGAATAATTATATGCAATGTAATTTTCAAGATACTTGGGGATCTCTCCTGGGACCACAAGCTTGCTTACCTACTCTTTATCCAAATATTGCTAAATTGGTCACAATTTCACTTATAATACCTGTTAATACTGCAAGCGTGGCTTTTCTAGATAATTTAATCAAAACCAAGGGAAGAGCTAGATTAAAAGTTTCTTCAGTGAGTGCTTTGATGTCTATTGCCTTGGGTACACCACCTCTGAAAGAAATGCTGTCCTTCAATTTTAGGAGGGCATTTCAAATATGGTGTTCTATGAAACAAAGAATAATAATAGACACTTCTAAGTCTATTCAGCCAGCAAGTACTGTGAAAAACACAAATGATTGCATGCTAAAACTGATTGACAGTGTTAAACAGCTGACAAAATTAGACCGAGAAATTGACTGTTTTGGTGATTCTGATGACTGTATAGATGAATAGAAGGTCAAACATGTTTGGTAAATAATACCAGATTATTGTATGTCAAAGATTTATTAATAAATCTGACTATCTGCAGGAATATATTGTCATTGTGAATGATTTGGTTGTGTAACAATTTCAGTAAGAAATTTGTTGGAACCCAATTCTGACTTTTCAGAATTTTTTTACACTTTTCAGAAACTTTTTTGTACCACATTTCTGACTTTTCAGAATTTGTTCATAGACCCAGAGGAAACACAGCACTTATGATGCGAGTTAGAAGCATGGCTGGTTTACCAGGGTTTTTAAATAGTGATTTAAAGAAAAATCAACTATACTTTAGTGACATTCGTTTAAGCAAGCATTCGTGTGAACGTCTTGGTGATCAGCAATGTCTGATGATACGTCTGCTGCGCTGGTCGTTTACCGATCATGCAAGTGCATGGCTGCCTTTGTTCTGCTTGGCGGTGACGATGTCACTGCATTAACTTGGTTTTAACCATAGGCCTTATGTTTTAATGAATGGTTTTACCGATAACGATTTTATATATTTGACGTCACCCTGGCAGTAAAAATATGGGTACGATAATACACTTTTCTAGGCCACATGTATCGTGTTAAAAAACTTGTTTTGGTTGTGTTATCACCTCGGTGACCTGCTACGATAACAAGCCGGAACAATGAACCCTTAGCACGATGAATCATTTTCGGAAGACAACGTGCGAAGGTCCGTTTCTTTGTCTGGGACCAGGGTGGACAGGAATGTTGGAACGTACTCAAAACGATTTTAAAATATAGGGAATCCAATCATGCGTATGTGATAAAAAGTACCAAAAGTTTGTTTGCATTGCTCTTTGATTAACAAGTTATTGATGTTATATGCAAATGAGTTGCTGGCCTTATTTACGGAGCAGTGGTGTGAAACTTTCTGTCCTGGCTCAATGTTTAATTACTACAAGCGCGATCAACTAGCTTCGCAAACTACAGAAAAAAAGCAAAAAAACAGTCAAGGCGTAGACGCTTCCAGCATGCAAGCTGAATGAAACAGACATACAGCAGGGTTTTTTTTCTAAACCGGGAAACGGGGGTGTAGCGCCCTGATACTCGGCTGGCGCCCTCTTACTGAATTACCGATTGAACTTTTAAGTCATAAATATATTTTTTGCTGCCGTACAAAATGAAATCTTTCTCAAATATATTTTTCTCCGTGAAAATTACTCCAAAAATATTTCAATGGCGATAGATACACTGCTAAAACGACGCAGAAACCTTCCGATACAGAGTTTCAAGGTTGCCCTGCTCCCTCGTCTGTGTGGGCTCTTGTTCATTTCTTCTAGAAAAAACCCTGCATACAGTTGAAAATGATAAGTAAACTTTTTCACCCTTATCTCATATGTCAACAATTTATACTGTTAAAAAAATGGTTTTTTTTTTATTTATTTATTTTCATGAAAGAGAAAGGCATTTTGGGCGAAACTAAAAAATGTTTCCACATATTTTTTACTCTAAAGGCATTTTAACACTGAAGTAATAAATTGTTGTTTCACCGTGCTGATAAAATTGCAATGCAATGCAAACACCACTGCTGCTGTTGTCAGACAACTAACTTTTCAGTGTCAAAATACACAAACGTAAAATGCTTGGTTAATTAAAAATAAAAAAATTACCCTGGAAATTACAGACAAATCGGGAACGAGATGCAGTTTTCAAACACCGCGGAAAAATCGTGCACTCAGTGATGCTCATCTTGATTATCTTAATAGGAAACCCCCTTGTCAGCTAGCAAAGTAGCATGCACCAGTAGCGATGTCGTAAAGTATGTTGTATGGCCGTGCTCGACACTATGAATTAGGCATTTCCTGAGTCAGGGTTCATTTAATTTTCATCAACCCGTCTTGTCTGTAGTTGAATGAAACCTGCCTCGATAAATAGTTTCCCTTCCAATGCGACTTCATTTCGATTTTTTTTACCGGCGTTTGGGTGATTGAGTAGTAAAAATGCGAATAGCCGTTGTGTAGTCAAATATTAGGGCCCATTTCAACCGGGTCGTCTAACTTTGCACGGTTCATTTCACAGGGATCGTGAAAACTGCGTCATACAAAGTTATTTCTTAAAGGGGAAGGTAAATTTTAACCGACCACATTATTGGTCTGTGCATGTCAGATACAAGAGTGCTTGGATGGAACCCAAATTATAAACCACCTTTTGAAAGATGGCCAAGACTTGTTTTCCTGTTCATATTTTAGTTTAGCTAAATTTATTTTGTTTGTTGAAAGTTAAACCTAAATCAGTCAAAGTCAATATTACAATGGTGCAAGGGAACAAACAGATGATGGTTTTGAAGAGCCTATACATACACAATTACATGCATCTGCAGACCAAAAAATAATTATTAAATTGTGACCTTAAACGAATCATCTGTAAGAATCTATCATGCTTTGACCATCGCTTGCACACCACTATAAGCCACAACATCTTTAGCTAGCCTAAGGTAGCCTGTTGGTTTCATTAGTTTTAGTAAACAAAACACTATGGCAGTGACAATGTACTTGACAATTAGGTACTAGATTGTGAGGTACATACCTTCTCAATTCCTCTCATGAACTTATCGCTTCTAGAATAATACTTTTTGGGTTCAATCACCAATTCACATAGTCTTTGTATTGTGAAAGGTGCACTGTAAAGCAATTAACAAGTTTTGATGATAAGGGAAAGTAAACAAACAAAAAGAATGTAGCAAACATCATTAACAATTGCTTTTATCCTTGAAGCAGTAGAGTCAAATTTTGCACTACTGAGCAGGTTTCTGAGAATATATGCAATGCATCATGGAAGAGAGCTTCAAATTGCATTAGGTTTTAATGCTTGATTATAATACAATTTTTTTATTGCATATCAGATTGCACAACATTTTTAGATAATTGATACAGAAACCAGCGCAGAAATGCTAAATTTTGACCCTTTTTCAAACTCAAATTTTAGTTTTCTGGAAAAAATTTCAATGACCCCAATTTTGTCACGCATTGGCTTCAGACATGCAAGTAAATTGGAGCCAGGCTGAATCCAGCCACGTTTATCAGGCTGTCCTTGTTTGAATATTTTATTATCCAGTACACAAAAAGAACTGTTACGATTCGTAAATTACAAATAACAAGAGCATTACTCACCTACTGAAAGTTTCTAATGCAGTCATTAAACGTATTTTCATTTCTTCAAATTCAACATTTTCCACATTTGGCAGAACTGGGATTTCTTCATTTGGATTACAATCCACAAACTCCTCTATAGCTAATTCCAACTTGCAAATGAAGAGCTTTTTAACTTTAGACCAAGGAAACCTACAAAGTAAATCCTTGTAATTTAACTATGGTATAATACCAGTGCTTGCAAATTAATCAAGAAATCATGGACATACCAACACTGGATGAACATCAACCAAAGTATTTTGATTTATGTGCGTTGCCGCTATTTACTCTCTACTAGAGATTAATAAAAGGTTAATTAGCTTTTCACTGCAGGCAATCGGCTTATCAGAATAATCCTGCACAATTCACACCTTCCGAATATGACGACATGCAACTTCAGACCCATCACCACGATTGTGCAACTGTCAACCAGGAAATAAACAATTGAAACACAATGACGCGATCTATACTAACAACAAATCAAAGTTGGAATAAGAAATTCTGTTCTTGACTCCAGGTGAATCAGCAAAGCCTACACACCGCCATTGTTTTAATCTGTGATGAGCTCCCCGATCTTCATATTTATGATACAGCAACTCTGATTGGTGGCGCCAGCTCACAGAATGTTGCAATCAAAAGAGAATATACGTAACTATTAACAGCATCACGGACCGGAAATTGTCGGCAGTCAAGTTATGGTTTCTTGAAAAATGTAAAAATTCCTAACATTAAAAGTGGAGAAACCGGTTTTACATCCAACGAAAGCAGCGACGGCGAAGTTATGCAGAGTTTCCGGTTGGCTGAAAGGTCAGCTAACAGATGTGATGAATTGCGCATGTTTATTTACCCGTCACTGAAACTGCACAACTCTTGTATTCAGTGTTCTCCACCAGGGGTTTTAGGGGGGCCTAACCCATCAAGTTTTACGGCTGTCGAGTTATTCTCAACACCCGCCCACGAACGTACATCTAGCTGAAATTATTTGTAAAAAGCTTACATTGTTCTTCCTAAGCCTAAACAAAGGAGTAGTTGCCCAATCCTTTATTTTGCTATTGTTTCAAGAGTCCAGACATAAACAATGACCACTAGAAGTCTGCAAGCAATTATGTGTATTCATGGCAATGTGTCAATCGCCTGAATTCATTGTCGCCCGACATTGGTGCCACTTATTGCTCACAATACGCAACTACAGTGGTTTCAATTTACAGCTGTATTTTTAATAATCTTCTTCCGATCATAAAATACGAACAAAATGTATATGCACTGAAAATAAACAAATATATTAGCAGATTGCATGTAAACATAAAATTAAAATTCTAGCTGTATTTACAACATTCGCTCGATTTTCGTGAAAACAGCATGGAGAAGGCAAACTGACCTTTTGGCCTACCCCATTCAATGACCGCCAGCCACCCACTGCTGTAACGATTTATTATCTAAGTTGCATAGGGGAACAGCGCATTCTGGGTGTTCGTGTACTGAATTCGGAAAGCGGTAAAAATCATCAAACATGGCTGCCGGATTAGTTCACACGAGTATTTGTAATTGAATATAAATTTTAGTTATCTTTTCCACATACTTTTTTCAATTTATCGATTTTTTTATGTTGAATCTTTTGAGAAC